CAGGTTTTGTTTCATTTTGTATACGTTGCTTTCAAAATTAGTTTTACTCATCTGCTGTGTGCTGTTCAAAAGTATGTTTATTTCCTGTAAATAGAATTAAAATTTGTAATTGAACTTGTGTATCTGTGAAAGAAGTGTGCAAGCAAATTAGGACTCAAAGAAAAAGGGAGTTAAGAGGGACTGATTAGTCAGCTAGAAAAAGCCAGAGCTTGCAGCTTTCCAAAAAACTAATTTAAAACTGTGCATAAGTGAAAGTCCTCACATCACAGCTCTGCACCATCATCTGTGGAAAAACAAAAACATGTTACACTCTGTCCTCTCCCACGGGGGGATATTGCAACTTTGGCAATAGCTTTGGGATCTCTTGGTTGACAGTGAGATCTGACCCCTCCTTCCTTCCTTCTTTCCTTCCTTCCTTCCCTGCTACAGGGGGGTGATAATAGACATGTTTTTCTGTGCTGAGATCACATGGCACACAGACTCTCACAGTGTTGCTATGACATCTGACAGTTTGTTCCATTAACTTTATATCCATTTCCTTTAAGGTGGCAGTCTACATTTGCTTATCACAGCTCCAGATGCTCAATTTCATTCACATCCATAAATAAGATGTTTGAAAAGGGATTAGAGACTACCTTAAAACCATTAGCAAAGTTCCTATGCATTATATTTGGATTCATTGTAAGCTCTCTTTTCAGTGTCTAGTGCTGCTAATGTTCTTCTAAGGGAAGTATTTTAGCTCTTCACAGACATAAGGACACAAAAAGTCAAGACTGTAGGGATTAAAACTAAGGATTGCGTCCAATAGGGGATTTGGGCAGCACGGTATTCTCTAGCCTGGTGCTTTATTCCCTGTCCCTCTGCCTCTAGCAGGGTTCCAGTTACTGTTCTGGCTCTCCAAATTTATTTCTAAGCATATCATGTGGCTGTGGTACTGAGCCATCCTCTGCAGCTGGGATGAGGGTGGCTGATTTGCCACCAGCTTTGCACACAGCCTAGTAAAGAGGATGTGCTGTGGCAAATCTCTGAGGTTTCACATCCCAACATGCAGAGAGCATGGCAGGAACTGGAATGTCAGCTGTGCCAATACTGCTCCCAGGAGAGAGGAGCAGGTTTGAAAGCATCCAAACAACACTGAAAGGATGATACAAATGTAGGGCTGGAAACCCACTGGAAGTTGCTATAAAAAAAACCCAGAAGGTGTTTCTTAATTTTAATTTGGTATTTCCAGTACTTTACAGCATGTGAGGGGTTATTTGACAATCCCTTGAGAACTCTAGCAGTTAAAATTCGCTGGAATGTTTTGTCAAATGCAAAAAACTACATCTTACACTAATATTTCTAGTGGAGGAAGAAGGCTTGTGGGTTTTGGGTTTTTTTTGAAAGCATTAAACAGGGGTGATCCTTTTGTACAAATAACAATAAGGTGTTAGGGGAGAGAGCTGCTGGGTCTTCAGACACACTTACCAACCTTTGGTCAGGGCTATTTCATGCAGAGTTTCCACAACGTGGATTTTTGCAGAAGCTGTTGCCTCTCCTTTGGCATTTGATGCGTGGCATTCATATTCCCCAGCATCCTCTTTGCTCAGAGGAGATATCTAAGGGAAGAAACACACCCCATTCCCCCAGTGAGCATCTTGTGCTCTGGTAGAGGTGATTATGTTTTCAGGTATCTTATAGAACTTCTTTGTGTCAAACCCTGTTCTCCCCTCTATTCCCCCTCTGATTCTGTGAGTGGTATGCACACTTCTGCTGCATACCAGACAGAGGAAGGGTGCATGCACCAGGTAAGATTGGAACCAGCAGCCACCCACATCCTTTAACTCAGGTTGTTTTCCTCTAAATGCCCTGTCTGTTGCCATTTGTCTCCTGTACTGTTCTTTGTTCATGAGCAGTTTGCAAACTGCACTCTGCTGTCTGTGCAGCTCTGGGCATACACACAGTACTCACCAGCACCCAGCCTGTTACTTCATGTTTCTCAGGGCCCCCACGGGTCTGGATAGCCAAGTTCTCCCGGTCCCCAGGCAGAAGCTCCATCCTTTGGACACCGTACTGTCCTCGAATTATCTAAACAGAGGGGCAAGAGTGGGTAAGAACTTTGGGGCTTACTTTGCTGCAACTGCATGCTGAACTATACCTGCACACAGATCAACATTAGATCCACATGAATGTGTTTTGTGCAGCAGCAGAGTGTTTCTAGTGTCAGAGTTTCACCTCATCCTCAGTGTAGTGCAGGCACACCACCCCAGTGCCTCAGCCCTGAGGCTGTGTTCCCCTCCCCTCAGCAGCAACCGAGTGGCCCGGTTTTCTGGTACGGATGGTACTGGGCAGTGGGGTGTGCCAACATGCCCTGTGCTCATCTGGCCTCACAGAACTTGTGTGTTCACAGGGTGTGTTCAGCCCTGCCTGTTTCTGCTGCAGCAAAGCAGGCAGTCCCTCCTGGTAGGCACAGCATCAATGTGAAAGCAGCACTGCAGTCTTTTCCCAGTATCCAAGCCTGGAGCTCAGCACGAGATAAGTGGTGCTCAGCCCTTGTTACCACCAGGTCAAACAGTCTCTCAGCCATGAGGATGAGGCATGAAAAGCAGAACAGCACTGACAGTCAGTGTAAACTCAGCATCTATTCATAAACAAGCAGAACATGCTGCCTGAGTCAACAAGCCCACACTGTATGCTCACCTGACAGTCTGCTCTTGAACCCCTATGAATAAAGCTTGCTGTCTTACAGCAAATTTTAGGCCAATCTAGATTTTTTCTCCATAGTATCCTTAAGTAGTAAAGTTTTGGCTTAATTTTAAGACCCTTCACAAGTGTGCACAAACCTGTGGCACTTGAGGAGGCTGCAGGAGCCATGCAGTGGCTCTCAGCCCTGCAGCCACGATCCTCTCCATTCAACACTGGTCCCCGTCCTAAGCCAGATGTTACCAGTGCTGCCAAAATCAACATGCTGCTGGCTACTGGAGCTAAATGACTGCCCCATGTGGTTCCTGTTCCCGACGTGGGCGATGTCTAGCCACCTCGGAGTCACTGCTGCCAGCAGGGTGAAGGTGAAGGCAGGTCAAGGGACATTCCCTACATGCTCTGAATATCAGGCGCTACCAAGAGAAACACGAGTCCTGTCCTGGCTTGGGATCAGCAAGAGTTTATTTTCTAAATAATGTCTAAAAACTAAGCAAAACCAGATGTTTGTGGGTGGACAGAACAGCAGAGATGAGAGAACTCATCAAGGAGGTGTGTTTCTACAGAGGGATCTGCTATGGCCTTTGTGCTTACCAGGCGCTTTCAGCCACCTCAGGTTTGCTGTGCTGTGAGAGCTCCTAGCAGGGCCCTTACCTTGTTCCAGATGAGGACAGGGGTTGGGATGCCAATGACTTCACAGCTCAAGTAGATTTGTGCTCCTGTCACATTCCAGATGTCCTTAGGAGGAGTCACAATGGAAGGTCCTGCAAAAAGGGAAAAAAGCAGGTAAATACAAGCCTGCCTCCATGTTAAGCCTTTTAAGAGGGAGCCAGTCACGGTTTTGAGGATGAGGTGAAGGTGATCCCTGCTAGAAGCAAAGTTCACTGGACTGATCCCAGATCACAACACTTCTCTCTAAAGTGGTACATGCACCCAGCCTTGAGCTATCCAGACTGATGGGCTCTTGTCCCAGATGAGAAGTCAAGTGTTGAGCAGTTCAGGTGATGAGTCCTCCTCCTTGCAAGGTTGAGGTTAGAAGTAAAATACTGTTTGTATTGTTATCTCAGGGTCTGAGCAGAACTGTACCAACTGCTGGCTCTGCTTACCATGCAGTCACCAAGTCAGCTGGCAGGGAGGAAAGGACCCCCAGGAGACAGGGTGCATCCCACTCACTATCACACCATGAAGAGCTTTCCCAACTTTGAAGCATCATTTCTCCCAGCATGATTTCAATCCCATGACTGTGGGCTATCAGAACTCAATGTTATGCTGTTCTGTTTCACCTGTGTGCAATGCTCAGTCAAAGAAGGCTGGCTGAGTGGTGGCAGAGCTCTCTGTGGGCAAGATCTGGGAAGGGAGTAGGTGAATGCAGAGCTCCATTTTTCTCCAGAGAGCTCCAATTCCTGGTTAAATAGAGTTGCTTCTAAAGCAGATCAGAGCAGGGTTGTTTTGCAGATCTGGCTGGAGATGTTTATCCCTCAGGCTGGGAAATGCTGGAGACATAACCCATATCCCAGGACGGGAAGAAAGGCCTTTTCTGTTCAATCCCTCTTTAGCAAGGCTGTTTTGCAAAACATAGCTATTAATTCCCTGCAACAGGAAGTGCAGACCAAAGGAGCACAGAGTGTTTATTTCCAGTTATTGATAGCTTTAAGAACACCACAAACAGCTTTCCCCCTTCTGAAGATGCAGGCAGTAGCAGGAAATTTAAGCTCCCATTACGCTCCATCAGGAGAAGGCATTTCCTACGCAGACAGGTACTCTAGAGCCAGCCTGACAGAAGCTCCTGGCTTTACTGGCTCACAGACCACACACAGCTCATTCCCAGCCCCATCAGAGAGGGGCAGGTATGGATCCTGATGCTCCTTATGGAGTCCTGAATCTGCACTGATTTCAGCCCTGCATGTGCACTCTACCCTGCAGCCCCGTTTCAAATGCATCCCACTGCACCAACAACTTCCAGCAGAAAGCTGGTGTTTTCTTCTTCCTCAAGATCTGGGGGCAGATCCACACTGGTATCACCAGCCAAAAGGTATCAGCCTTGCTTCTGTTTTAGCCCAAGAGATGCTGAGGCGGTTCCCTGCTCCTGAGCAGCTGGTGCAAACCCAGAGAAGTGTTTGCTCTTCTCTTTCAAGACTCCTCTCTCCAGGAATGACTGTACACAGCCTGCTGGTGGGAAGCTGCTAAGAGATCAGGGGTGCCTGCACTCAACATTCTCTGTTACAGAAGTATCCCAGCTCTCATTTTTAACAGGAAGCAGCTGTGGTGAAGCAGAAAAATTTAATGTGTAGCCCTGGGCAATGGTTGAAACCACACCTAATATTCAGCACGGGCTGGTTTCCTGGCAGACATCACAACCCAGGTGCTCCTCATCTGCGGAGTCTCTCAGCTAAGAGGATTTAAGCAGTGTTTCAACACCCTGCTGAAGGTTTTCCCCTGCTGAGTACCCCACAGTGGCCAGCCCAGGACATTGCCATCCCCAGGATGGGGCCAACTCAGGTCACACACTGTGCTCCCCTTACCCAGTGCAGCATTTCCTGCACAGCCCAGCTGTTCTTTTTCTGGTGTCCCTTAAACAATAGGGATAATAAGGTGCTTGGAAGCTCTGATGTGACACAATGTCCCCAGGCAGCTTGGCTGGACCCATGCTCTGTGTGGAACCTCAGCCAACATGCACCCAGCAAATCCTGCTGCTGCTGCCATTATTCTGTTGTCCAGCCCTCCACTTGCAAATTGGCTTTCCTAAAGCAGAGCCTGGGACTTGTCCCCGGCTGGCAGGGCTATGTCTGCCCCTGTATGACACCACCCAATCACTGGGGCTCTTCCATGAGGCAGGAAAAACACAAGTGCCCCCCATCTCTCACCGCAGAAAAGGAGAGATCCTGACTCTTACATTAAAAGCCAGGTGGATTTTAAGGCACTGTTATGCTGTTCCAGGATCCAGCTCAATTCTCCCCTGTTTGGGAACTGGCAGCATTCAGCACACCACTAAATCCCCTGCCTGAGGTGTCTCAGTCTTGGTTACTGCTGAGTTTCCCTCTGTGCCAAGGGTTCAGACACCCACTTGCCCTGCCAGGATGAACAGGTCACATCATGATTTTTCAGCAGCAATTGTTGTCAGGGGAAAAGAGACAAGGAATTTCTACCCACCTCCTGGGTGAGGAGAAATTGTTTATCTTCTTGAACAGGAGAATTGCCTGCACAGCTTCACAGCAAAGTCCTGTCTGGCTTGGCACAGCAGCCAGAGCACAGTGAGAGCTTGGCTGTTACAAGCTAGTCCTGAGCTCGGGATGTACATCCTGATCCAACCAGGCAGAACATGACGTTCTACATTGGCTGCAAAATGAGCTGGAAGCATCCACAGGCCTCTGCCTGTATCTGACACAGCTCTGAGGCCAGGAGGGAATGCACATCCTGAGAGATGCAGCAAGTGTCATGGGAAAAGTCACTGTGCTCTCTCCGGACATTTGACTTAAATCCACACAGCCAAAACTCTAGAGCTGGGCTTCTTCCGCCACTAAAAATATATGAGAAAGGCCAAGAAGTCATCAGATTTAAAGTCAAATCACAACTGCCCACAGCAGTAGCTAAACTCTCACCACAGTGAGCTGACACCCAGGTGCATGGCAGCCACCCTGCTTGCTGCCTGTGCTGGTCCCACTCACGTTCCTTCCCACAGTCCCCCAAAGTGGACAGACATGGACAGATGATACAGCAACTTGACACAACGGGAGAGGCAGGGGATGGTGGAGCCTGGCATGCACTTCAGAAGATGTGAGGACATTCCTTCCTCCAAGTGCCCCTCTTGCTCCAGGAGTTCTTGTGAAGGGAGAAAAGCCAGGACTGGAAACAAACCCACCTTGAACAGAGCAGATATCTTGATTCTTGCCAGCAAGGAGCCCCCCACCCTCATCCTACAGCCTGCACCTAGGAGTCCTTGCTGCTCTGCTGGCAGCACTGCCCACAGAGGGAATGGTTTCTCCCTCAGCTTCCTTCAGGCTGAGGACCTGAGGGCTGCACCTGCCCATAAAAATGTTCACCACCATCAAGGTGGCTGAATGGTCCCCACAGTCCTGCTGAGGACACTGTCCTGCATCCACCATGCTGAGGACACTGTGGATGTACAGATGCTCCCTGACACAAGCACAGGAGCTCCTTGACCAAGATGACAGCCCAGGCTGTTGATGGAGATCAGCTGCTCTCCACAGGCACTTCAAGCATTTCCTCCATGTTCTGCCCATTGTTTGTAAAACAAATAGCTCTCCCTGGCCCAGGAAGGCGCTTCTTACAGAGCCCCAGAGCTCATTCACCCTGGGACAGAGTCTGAAAACACTTTTTCTGCAGCTTGCAGGGAACTGACAGCCTGTGTTATGTCAAAAATAGCAGCTGGAAAGGAGTTCCCATTGTTGTATGTAGTTGCTTTTCTGCCACAGCAACGTGCACAGCAGAGTCCCTGATGTCCTCGATGAGGAAGTTATTTGGCATCTGCTCCTGACACCCCTCCTACACCAATCACCTCTTCTCTGCCCAGCCTCAGCTTGCAGAGACCTGGCATCTCCCAGCCCACCCACTTGTCCCTCACTGATACCTGGATATACCTGGATGGTCACTCACAGCTGAGGATGAGCAGGTCCTCACCAACCTTCCCTTGGCGTTCACGCACACACAATCCAATAAAAATCACACAGCCAGCAGAGCAGTAACTTTTTTGCTAAAATCAAGGGGCCTACAGGTATGTGACTAAAGGCAAAAATCAGCTGGACATTAAGCACCGTGGGCTATGTCCTGGTGCTTGGGAGTGTGTGGAAGCCCAGACCATGAATACAAGAAGCCGTGTACCACATGCTGAAGCTCACCTGGATGTCAGCTGGGCTCCCAGCCAGCCCTACTGCGCACGGTGCCGCCCTGCCACAGCCCCAGGTCACACACAGGCTGGGAACGCTCCCCGAGAGGCCAAACCCAAGCAAAAGCTAAACATTGTTCACTCTCACAAGCTATTGCAGGTCTGAAAATAAACCCACTCAGTCTCCTCAGTTGCTGGTAAAGTACTTTCCCTTCAAAATGACTTTATATGGAAAAAGGGAACCCTTCCATAAGCAACATCCAGTTATTTTAGCTGGCATGGCCTCAGCTGCTCCCTCCCAGGTCAGTACCCTGAGAGGAGGCAGCAGACGGGAAATGCAAGCAGCTCCTGGCTTTCCCCACTCCCAAAGCTGCCTGCTGCTCTCTGACAGATTTACAAGCCTCTGTTACTTTCTTCTGAAGGTATTTCTTGTCCTCCTGTAATCTATCTCTGAAGAGATTAAGGAGTTACAGAAGGAAATGAGTGTTGGATGCTGTGTCTGTTTGGACGCTCCCCCTCAGACTCCAGCAGGCCCTGGAAAGGCTGCAAGCACGAAAACAGCTTTGCCCCAAGCCCTGGAGACCTGAGACTGAGTCAGTGTGAAGAAGGGTCCTGGGCTCCCATCATTCTGCCATGGAGCAACTTGTGCTTCCCACACTGCTGGGCTTGGTGCGGTGCACACCACTGCCGCTGGGAATCCCAGCCCCGCTGTTTCACCACAGGCTGGCAACACTGCCTTCAGAGACCTTGTGCATGACCTTCATGGCATAGACTCATTTAATGGCCTGGGTTGAAAAGCACCTTAAAGATCATGTATTTCCACGAGCTAAAGCCTGGAAAGAATGTGAAAGGCTTGCGCTGGGAGGCACAGAAAAAAGGCATGGCAGCATTTATGCATGGAAAAGCAAGCAGGGCTTTCAAAAATCCGACCTGATTAGACTTGTTACATGGTAATCTCCTATTTAGTTCTAACCTCAGCCAACCTCAGCCCGACAAAGGATTAAACACATTTTTTTAGACACAGCATGCCTTTCCAGCAACAGAAAAAACAAACATAGGATGGAATTTGCTGATCAGTAATCATTCCTTGCTAGTGAATTTGGGTATGCTGTGATGATTGAGAATGAAGACACAGGTGAAATACAGGATCCTCCTGAGCAGTGAAGGTTTAGCATAGTCCCTGGCATATTGTTGCTCTCTAGGACTCTACCAAGTGATTATTAAACAACTTCCATCGTAGCTTTTAGCACAGTAACCAAAAAAAAACAAGCTCCAATGAACCAAAACCTTTTCAAATAGTGGAATGCCTTTTAAGGAGGAATTTATGACCTGTGCCACAACAGTGGAAACCTCCAAAGTTACACATGAATTTTAACTCACCGGTATTTTTGAACACTGAGAACCATGAACAGCAGTGTTCAGGAGTTGGTCATGAAACATGACAGAATCCAGGAAGGCTGGATGTGTTTTAAAACAGGAATTGTTAAACATTCAAGAGCAGACTGCCCCAAGTGTGGAAAGACCAAGGAAAATGACCAACCTCATTAAACAGAGAACTTAGGCTGGAATTTAGGAAAAAAAAAGGAGAATCTATCATCTCTGGAAAAAGGATCAGGTAACGTGGGAGGACTAAGAATGTTATGAGGTAATGTAGGGAGAAAATTAGAAGGGCCAAAGCCCAACTAGAATTTTATTTGGCTGCTACAGTTTAAGGCAACAAAAAAAAGTTTCTATAAATACATTGGCAGCAAAAGGAAGGTCAAGGAGTGTCTCCACCATCGGCTGAATGCAGAAGGTAGTGTAGTGACAGGGGATGAGAAAAAGGCAGAGGCACCTAATGCTTTCTTTGTCTTAAATACCAAGACCAGTTGTCCTTAGCACACCCATCTCCCAGGGCTGGAAGTTGGTGATGGGGAGATAAGCAAAGCCCCCTTAATCCACGAGGAAATGATCAGTGACCTGCTGTGCCTGTTAGACACTCACAAGCCTGTGGGCCCTGATGGGATCCACCCCAGTGCTCTGCCACAGACTCTCAGGATGCAGCACAAAAATGCTGGAAAGATCCACCTACAAAAGCAATGTTTTCCTTTGCAGTGGAAGACAGCAGGTAACTGGCCACCGCTGCAAGACCCCCACTCCCACCTGATGCAAAATCTCAAACCAGATTCCTAGGAGAATCAGGGAACTCGGTTCATTTCCAACCACAGATGACTTAGCAAAAACTTTTCTAAATCTTTCCCCAGCAAAGACAAAACCATTCATGAAATGTGTACATTCTTCTAAGTCTCTTAAAATCCAGAAAAGGAAGAATGGGAGGAAAGAACTAAAGCAATCTGAGTCTCTTGTTAACAAATCTAGAAGAATTTCTTGCAAAATGTGCCTGGCTATGAACTATGTTCTATGGTGTCTAGAGTTGGCAACCTTTGTACTTAATGCAGCTGAATCAGAAGATGAACTAATCTCAGTGATAACAGAAGTCTACCATTTCCCACAAAATGTTTTCCCCAAATTCCTGTTTTTGCTCTACTCTGGTAGTGGATTAAAAAAATACAAGAAACCACCCTCAAAACTAAGATATTTCTGGCAAAGCCTCCACAGCTGAATTTGGATGGAATGAGCCTACAGATGTGATTCGTGTTTCTTGTCTTGTTTCTTCAAGACCTTGTTCCCACAGGTCTTGAAGCTGACCTGTGGGAACCTGGCACTTTGTTTGCAGCCCAGATGAACCTTTATGGAATAGTGAAGCATCAGCAATGCAAAACCACTGATGGGGTAAATTGGCAGGAATCTGGGGGGTGGGGGGTGATATATTTTCCCCTGCGGCTGCCAGTCTCCACAAGAGCCTGGCAGTCACAATCCTATCAGCCATCAGTCCATCAGCCTGTGTTTTTTAAACCCTGTGGACAGCAAAGAAACCTCACACTCACCTTCTTCTGAGCCCCAAAGCTGGTGTGTGGCACCTTAGCAAAAAACCCCTTCCATGAGGGATGGCTTCTGGGAAGCCAAAATGATACCTCTCTGAGGGGATAGCACAGCTCCAGTGACCGGGATCTCCCTGCTGGTGAGATTTAGACAAGATTAATGCTGGTTACAGTCAGTTGTAAAAGAACCTCTCCTGGTTCTGCTGTTAATCCATAGCCTGTGGGAGGGATCCTGTGAGCCCTCACTATCATAAGGAAATTCCCTGCATATTCCCCGTGCTGGGAAAACACTTCCATGGAGCCACAGAGTTTTAAACCACATTCAGATGAATAGAAATAAAGCAGACTGCTTGGCAAGCCAGCAAATTTACCCTTCACACAGAGAGGCCCTGAGTTTCTACCCCCAGGAGGTCTTTGTAGGTAGGTACAAAGCAGCACCAGTTCCCCTGAGAGTGAAACGCTGTCCTCTGAAGTCTGCTGAGAGCTGCTTTGTGGTACACTGCATTTGAGCAAGAACAAGAGTTTGGCTTCCACCATGAGAGAAGGGAGAATAACACAAAGAGAAAGCCTTGCCTGACAACAGCAAAACAACCTGGAGACCCCAAGACCTTGTCCTGTTGGAACAAGTATTAGGGACTTCAAACGGTATGAGGCAACTTCGGCAGTATTTCCAGCAGTCACAACACATCTCTCAAAGCAGATATTTGCTGGTAGCTTATGATAAGAAAGACTCAGGGGTATTTATCCCTTCCTGCATCAGTTAGGTAACAAGTTGGTGCCTGGTATTTTTCAGCTCAGAGATCATCATCAGGAATCCTGATGGCTTTTTTTTTTTTATGAGGGTTGGTGCTTTGAGGTTGTTTTTCTGCCTGGCTTGAGCTGAGACATGCAACTCTAATTCTTTATGCCAGCTGGCTTTGCATGGCAGCGGGTACCACAGCCCTCCTGCCCCAGGTCCTAGCGGTCCTGCAAACAGCCTCAGTGTGTGCACTGCAAATTGAATTTCAGCCCACACTCCTGAAGCCACCAACTCCTTAAGAGGCACTTCTGAACATCTGTGCACAGCTGTGTGACAGCAGGGACAGAGGACAGCTCCTCAGCTGTCCGAGCAGCCTCCCCTCCTGCCAAGGGGGCCACCCGAGGAGGCTCCCCAGACCGCCTGTACCTGCCCTGCCTGCAGGATTCTGCCTTGTGTCCAGACCCGCCCTGCCTGCAAGACCTGGCAGCAGACCTGAGCTGCAGCTTCATAGGCAGAGAGCAAACAGTCTATTTAAAGGTAATGTTGGAAAGCAGATAGAAAACTTCATAGCATCTGCCACCTGCATCCTCAGCACTGCAACAGGCAAAGAGGCTGCACAGGTAGAGATGGGATGTGGGTAGTGGTGCCCTGACAGGGCACAGGGCTAACCCAGGGCCAGCTCTGAGTGCAAGTGTGAGGGCTCAGCAGGAGACCAGCCAGTAGGGTGCACCATGGCATCACTGCCTGCTCCCCCAGAGCAAAAAGGCAGGCAGCTTTTTCTGCTGGCACAGCACCAAGAGCAGCCAGGCAGCTCCAAGGAGTTGGCAATCAAGAATTATGTCTTTTTCCAACAGCCCTGAGTATCCCCAATAGTCCTGCCCACATAAAACCCACTCCAGAAAGGACCAGCTGGAGCCCTCCATCTGCCAAGTGCAGGTAGAGCAAGGGTTCTTTCCATCCTTTCAAACTCTTCTCAACTGTGTCTTCCTTTGCCCTCCAGCAGGAAGTTCTGGCTGCTGCAGAAATACTTTTTTCTGCATGGCTTCATGATTTTTGTACAAAACACAGACATCACATCTGAGAGGTGTGGGAAACAACCAAGAACACAGTCAAGGCAAATTCTGTAGGGATGAGAAAATGTTCATTCCTTTCGCTATTTATTATCAAAGAAAGATCCAACAGGATGTGCAAAACAAGTCTTCCCTCTCCAGCTCCACTTGAACAAAAAAAAAAAAAAATTAAAATCCCAAGAGCAATTAAACACAGTTAGGACCCACTACTGGATGTTTCTGGATCTATTCTTAGATACTATCTTGAAAGGCTGTTTTCTCTTGGACTGAAAGGACCTGCAAGGGCATGCAGACACCTCAGAGCCCATCTACCACAAGCAGGAAGCCCAAGTGCCCTGCCACCCAAGTGCAAAAACTGTCCCAAAAATAACTGATCCTGCCTGTTGGTGGTCCCCCCTGTGCTGGATCCCACCTAGATAGTGCCTTAAGGAGATTGCATCTGTTTGTGGTGGGAAATGGCAAAAATCAAAACTCCCACTATTTGACTACCACAGTATTCAGGTCCTTCTAGAAACCTAGAAAAGTGATATCTCCTGTCTGGAAAGATACTGGAGAAAGTTGTATTCTGTCAGGCCGACGGGATGGATGTTCTCGCCTGTCAGTGTTTCAAAATCCATGTGAAGATTACAACTCCCCGCCCTTCCCACCCAATGCTCGTAACTGCCTGGAGGCCCTGAGGGATACAGAAATACTTCCAGATGTCTAGCACGGTTGTGGGATGAGTTCCTGACTCTGCTGCAAGCCACAGAGCAGCACATATCACCAGAAGGCCCATGGAACAAGGAAGGTTCATGCGGCTGAGGGAAATCTCTGGAGGGTCAGTTGTGGCACCACTGCTGAGCAGCCCACGTCCATCCTGCTCCCTTCCCTGAGATGCTGGCTCAGAGCTCTCCCAGCAGCAGGAGCCAAAAGAACAGGTCCCCTGAATGGTGGAGGACAGGACATTTTGCCAGTTGCTCTGCACCACATGCTCTAGAGAAATTCTTAAGCAGTTATCAGCCCACAAAGGTGTCTTGCTGCAGATCTGCACACCTGAAGAGACCTTCTCCAAGGAAAGGATGCAGTTTGCACATGGAATGGCTGTCCCACTCTGACACCCTTCTTCAGAAAAGCTGCTGCGAGGATCAGGGGACAGAAAAGGTCTTGTGGAACCTGTTGGAGGCTTGCAGGTCAGTGGCCTTCCACACCCCTTGCCAGTGGCTCATGTTTGCATTGACCTCATCAAACTGTCTCCATAGTCTGAAGCAAAGCCCTACCAGGTTGAACCACCATTGAGTCTGGGAACTGGGACAGTATCTTACAAGTATCAATACCTGTTTTGCAATGAACTCCCATATTACTTTGGGCAAGACAAGTGAGAACACAGCCTTCTTCTCAAGCACGCACCTGAAGCATGACATCGTTCAGACCCACCTGCTCACTTGTCTGGGCTGGCAGAACCAAGAAGCAATATGTATTTTAGGACTCCTGAAGGCCACTGGGCAGGAAAGGCTCCTTCCAAATACCAGACAGAGGCACGGACTGAGGCCATTCTTATCTCATTCCACATTACCCTGAAGGCTGAAATTCCTTCCCTCCAAGAGTTAATACTGTACCACACTGTTTATGGCTAATATGTAAGCCTAATGCTTTGGACAAGGTTTGTGAAAAGCCACACAGGGCATTTAATGGGCAACATCAAAGTGCATAACCCAATCCTCACCCAGCCTTTCGTGCTTGCCTTGGGAGTTTCAGAAACTTTTTTTTTTTTGCAAACATACTTGGCCTCAGTTATGAGAAACAAGAGAAGGAGGAGGTGGAGGTTGTGACCCGCTCATACTGTGTTTATGAGAACACTCCTCCACCAAAACAGCACTGGTGCTGCTATCCTGTCCTTGAGATGTTTAGTATATGGTTTGAATGCTATGTCTTACCCCTCCCTCCTGCCCAGCAAAAATCACTCTCAGAGGCCAGAATTTCTAGTAGAGGCTCTGCAGCAGAATAATTTCTTCCTTGAGCACTATCCCTAAGAAAAAAACTTGGGATGAATCAAGCTCCTGGTCAGAAACGCTGCAAGTGCAAACTGCTACCTACAGCTCACAGGAAAGCCACCGATTGTTTTCATTTCGAACCAAAGCAAGTCAGTGAACGCTGGCTCTGAATTTCTGTGGCTTTCACATCCATTTAATCATTTCCTTTCCTCTCTGCTTGCAACCATCCTGGGCAGAACACTCCCCTGGATAGTTCACCCCTTTCGTTCCACCTCACAGCGGCCCAAATTGCAAACTTCTGACAAAGTACGAAAAGTGAGGGCGCGTAGTTCCAGCACCGCTGGAAGCCAACAGCGAGTGCCCAATGCTCCTCTGCGTTTCTGGGGCTGGTCCGAAGCGTTGCTCCAAGTTTAGGCAGCGCCATCCGACTGGGACTCTCCGGTCCATTTAAGGTGGGTCTGAAATCCTGTCCATTTTACAAAGAAGCACCCCGACGGGATAAAAGGGCAGGAGGAGCCCTCGGGAGGCGCGGCGTTTCCCCCGGGCAGCAGAGCGGACCTCCCCGGTCCCGCAGCCCGCCCGCCCCGCTCCCTGCCCCGCACCTTGCTCGCAGGCTNCCCCGGCCCCGGCAGAGGCAGCGGGGCACCGCCGCACCGCCGCCATCCCGCGGCCGCCCCGCACTCCGCACCGCCGGCTGGAGCCTTGGTGCGCCCTCCCTCCCGCACTCAGCTCCGGCATCGCGTCTGTTCCCTCTTCTTCTTCCAGCAGAAAGGGACGTGTGGGAGCGGGCTGGCAGCCGGCTGAACACGAGCCAGCTGTGCCCAGGGGGCCAAGAAGGCCAGTGGCATTCTGGCCTGGGTCAATAAGTGTGGCCAGCTGGATCAGGGACTGTCCCCCTGTACTCGGCACCTGGAGCGCTGTGTTCAGTTCTGGGCCCCTGACTACAAGAAAGACATTGAGGTGCTGGAGCATGTCCAGAGAAGCGTAACAAGGCTCGTGAAAGGTCTATTGAGAACAAGTCTTATGAGGAGGGGCTGAAGGAGCTGTGTTTGTTTAGAAGGTTCAGAGGGCACCTCATCACTCTCTACAACTCCCTGAAAGGAGGCAATATTCAGGTGGGCGGTGTGTCTCTTCTGCCGTGAGAGAATGATAGGAAAAGACTTTAAGCTGGGGTATAGGAAATTCAGACTAGATATTTGAAACATTTTTCACTGTTAGGGTAGTCAGGCACTGGAATTGGTTGCCCTGGGAGGTGATGGAGTCACCATCCCGGGAGGTGTTTAAAAGGCATCTGAATCTGGTGCTGAGTGATGGTTTAGGGGTTACAGTGGTAGTGCTGGGTGGATGGTTGGACTCGATGATCTCTAAAGTCTCTTCCAACCTTGATGATTCTATGATTCTTGCCACCCACCCATGCTCAGCTCACAGCCACTGGCTGTAGGGGGCTGCAAGGGTGCTGGTGAGCCTGAAAGGTTCCTTCAGGAGGGGAGGCAAGGAAGAAAAGGAGAGCTGTCTGGTTTCTCCTGTCCATACTCGGGACAACATTGTTTTCTGCTGCCCTCTTTTACCTTAACTTGTGGCTCCTGCCCTGGAATGGCTCCTGAACAGTCTCCTAGAGTGGGGGACTGCTGCCAACAACAGAAACTGGGAATATTCATCAGGCAGCACTGGGCAATGTTGCTGTCAAAACAGTGTCCTGAAAGTGCCACACCTAGAGCACCATGATGCTGATAAACCCTCAGGCAGGGGCAGCAGGGCGGCACATTCCCTCCCTGTGCCTGCGGGAGCTGCCATCTCCTGCAGGGCAGTCCAGGCCGAGATGAGGTTCAGCCTTGGTTCTGCCAGGGCCTGTGCAGTGGCTGCTGCGTTGGCACTCTGGGGAGAGAGGACAGAGGTAGTTGGTGTCCCATGCTGTGATACTGAGGGATTTGGCACTGACAGGTTTGGGTTGTCTGTGGCTGAGCCCTGAAGGGTAACTCCCCAGGTCAGCATGTCCCTTCCCATGGAGAGAGCAGCTGGAGCTGTGATTCAGGCCAGCTGGGAGGGGCTGCAAGTTCCCCATGCTCCCAAATCTGCTCTGGAGGCATTGACCCACTCGTGCCTGTTCAGCTGCTGACACTGTGGGAGCAGGCTCCCACCACATGCTTCCTTGGCTCCCTGGGGCTCAGCATGACACATTCCTCCATTTCTCCTTGGGACCATGGTGTTTGCATACATGTCCTTGGATTTCTCCATTCCTCTCACTCTGGAAGTGCTCTGTGCTGTTCTCTTGGGAGAAGGGCTACCCTGATATGCAAGCAGAACCCCAGATTCGAGGATCTTTACACATTTTGGTTGTTGCGCTGTATTTTGCTTTAGTTTGGGTTTTATGGGCAATTCACTAGAGGAGCGATGGAAAGGGGTGAAATGTACAGGTGGACACATCTGACAGGTCTAGCTGCAAAAAACATTTTGCACAGCTCATGTCTTCTCGCTGTCTCCTGCCAGTTGCCACCCATCTCCCTCACAGGCCCCTAGATTCCTGTTCATCAGAGTATCACAAGCCCAAATACTCTTGGCAGAAAACCACAAGGAGTTTAATGAACCTGCTGTAGCTTACCAGAGCGAGCCTTTCTGACATGAAATCACTGACAGCAGCCCACTTGTTGGGAGGAAGAATGCCATTCTGAAAGGAGGACATCAACATGTTTCCTTTCTTCCCCTCGAATCTCTTTCTTTCCATGCCAGGCAGGAGGCAGCACTTGGAGCAGTTTATCCTCACTTAGTTCATGCTTTGGTGCAGAAGGACCTCTAGTGTGCCTTCCCAGCTGATGCTTTGGCATCACTGCACTAGCTTGGTATTTCTTGATCTCAAAACTTTCCTACATACTGTGGAATGAGATATGATCCACAAAGTGCATGTAGGGAAGTGGCTGGGAGAGATAAGGCTGGGTTGCTCCTCCCTGGGCAGAAGTCAATTACTGTATGCCCCAGCCTCACCTTGCTTTGCTTCCATGGCTCCTCCACAGCCTTTTTTCTTCACCTCAGGGACTCCTGGTGCTTTTTTGCGCACCACAGGCTGCTCCATTTAAATATATTACATTAGATACTCCTGCTCTCTCAGTAATGAATTTTCCACTGAAGTTCAGTGGACACCAGTGTAAATATGTAGATTCAAGTTGCGCTTCTTGGGACTTTTGTAGAGCACCCAATCAAAATCTCTGCTTAGTATTCAGCAGCATAAAATTCTCATAAGCAGGTAAAATTTAATTAACCAGTGGCAGCTATTAGGAATACAACAAAAATGATCTTATGTGTTTTGATCTGTTTCGCACGGGTATCCCGAATTTCATGGTCAAGATTGTCCTGCATGCATCACTCCATTGAGACAGCGTGGGAGGTGGGGCAGGCAGGGTGGGCTTTCTGGGACAGAGGAAGCTCACAGGGTCTTTGAAGGCAGGGGAGATTTAGCAGAGACTATGTGAGAATGGAAGCAGATGGCTTTTAGATGTTGATGTATTTCCAAACCGAGCGTTTCACTTGCGGTTTCGCTTCCCCCAGCCAAGCAGTCCCTCCGGGTTTGCGTGGGCTCTGAGCTGGGATACAGCTGAGCAGCAGAGTACGTCTCTCCACCCTCCACAGCGTGGACACGGGCGGGTCACTCTCCAAAGTGAATAATTAAGTCAAAGGGCGCATTCGCCACATGGAAGACCCCGGCATCCCTCCACCTGCCTTCTGCTTTGCCCTCTGCCACCCGGGCAGCAGCAGCTCCGCAGGCTGAGGAGAGCCGGGAGCTCAGCGGAGCCCAGTAGCTCAGCCTTTTCACCGCAGGACTCAGGGTTTCCCAGCTCCGGGCTCCCAGGTATCGGGAATCCCTCTCGCTCCTCCTCCCGCTGCCGCAGCCCCTGATGAGTTTCGGTTTCCATTTCCCCGGCCCTGCCCGGGCTCTCCCGAGCTGCCGGCGGGCGAAGGATGGCGAGGGGACGGCGGCAGCGGGGCCGGGGGAGCGGCACGGCAGGTACGGAGCGGCGCGGTCGGGAACGCTGGGAGACCCCCGGGGATGGGTCCGTGCAGGTGGAACCCCTGAAACTGCAATAATCCGCTGTGCTGCCCCTCGGAGACGGGGCATGAGGGGCTTAAACGTGTCCCAGTGCGCAGCGCTCGGAGCGGGGGACTGGAAGGAGGACGAACATGCCAGGGAATAGACAGAGATATTCCTTTCTAGTTCCATGTCTGATATGTGAGAAGGGTGGGCAGCGAATCTCCAGAGGTGTTAGGTAAATCAGGGCAGGCTTTGCTGATGACCGCCTCTCACTCTTGGACATCCTGAGTCTCGGACACTTGTGCTGGAGCAGAGCTACATGCGAGAAACTGAGTCCCTGGTGCCTCTAGGTTGGGAGAGCATCTGCAGCCCCTCGGCTCTAGACAAGGAGGTACAGCCTTCTGCTGTAAAGAGGCAAGGAGTGAATTTTCCATCATTGCTTCTTCAGCACCTTGTAAAGTGCTGGACTCGAAGGCATCCTGTCCCCAAGGCTGTGACAAGCCTGGGATGGCCAGATGCCTCAGGAAGTGCTTTGTCTCCATCAGATACTCTCCACAGGTGTACAAAACCAACAGACTGTGCTTCTGCTGATTTTTCAGTAGTTGTCTTGGGAGAGGGTGGCTCCCGAGGTCCTTTAGTGTGGAGTCATCCAGCATGAAACAAACCAGTGGGTAGGCAGGACACTGAAACACTAAGAGGACTGAAAAAATTAGTCACACACAATTGTCTCACTTTCTCCTGAGAAGCAGAAGGTCTTGCTGAAAGCAGTAGCACACTGAGATCTTGGGAAGGGGTGGTTAAGGTGTCTGCTGCCATAGCATGACCATCATGTCTGTCTGTGCGTGTCCTGCAGGGCGCACACAGTCGCAGAGGAATGAGGAGGTGCGGTGCTCAAACCATGATGCAACACATAAGCTCATTCTCTTCCCTAACGGGAAGCTATCCGAACACTGGGCTAAAGCTTCAGCAAACTGCCCCAAGACAAGGTAAGAAGCTTTCACAGAGTGGAGGTGTGGATGGCAATAGTCAGAAAATGCAGCCTGCTTTTCCCCAAGGTAACATCCCAGAGTTTGAGGCACGTTCCTGTTGTAGAGAGGGAACTGGAACACATACCTTCCCAGTAGCCAAAACTTTATGTTCTTTTTTAACCCAGCCAGAAGTGCACAGATTATGAGGATGATACCAAGATCCGAGCTGCTTGGGATGCACGTGAGACAGGTTTCTCTCAAACTTAGTAAGGATCAGTAGAACATACCAGAGCAATGCAGATGGTTTGCAAATCACCCATGGGAAAACTGCAGGTGAAAGACACAAGCATGTGTCACAAGTCTGAACCGTACCACCTTCTGATGAAGCTGTGAGGGTAGCCATCATCTACAAATGGCCCAGCAGTTTGCTGTGTGACTTTCTTGTCCCAGGGCAAGATAACAGAATCAGGCTGAGCATGGTTCTTTTCCAGCTTCTTAGGAAGCAAACCACAATGAAATCAGTTAGCTCTGCTACAGCAGGTCAGCATAAGAGAAGGGTGAATCAGCTTACAGGTGACCTATATTCCACATATTTCCTGCTAAAAGCGATAGGGCTTGGTGAGCAGGGGATCTTCGTCATTTACTTTGTCTTGCAGCACAGCATCTCTTTATTTTGATTGTTTTTCCTTATTTTTCTAGGCTGGTGCAAGAACTGGCAAACGAAAATATTATTCAAGTAGCGTGTGGGGACCAGCATGCCATGGCACTATCCAGAGGTAGCCTTTTTCAAGAACACTTTTCCTCCAAACAGGAGTCATGCTTGCTCTGAGAAGGCAGTGTTTGTACTACTTGCAGTAGTTGGCGACACCATTATAGAATAATGAGCAGTAGGGACACAAAGAATACTGGCTGTCAGTGCTGCTCCTTCCTCCCAGCACACAGGGACCTGCAACTCCTTCCAGTTCCTGAGCACTGCCCCTCCACAAAGGTGTGTTGTGCACAGCAGACGTGGCTGCCCCACTCTGCAGTCACCAGACCAGCTCATTCTTAACTTGCAACACCTTTCTGATTGGGAACTCCTTACAAGTATGACTTTAGGGGCAAATACTTCCTTTCAAGTATGATTCTTCTTGCTGTGCTGAGTCACATGGCAACATGGGACTGTCCCAAAGAGGTCAGAAGAAAACAAATTTGGCCACACATGATAGTCTTGCCTTGGAGCTAGGTCCCTGAAAACAGCACTGAGTTTTGCTCCTACTCCCAAAGTGCAAATACTCAAGAGAAGCAGTGAGGCTGAGCTGTTTTCTTTTGTTCTGTGTGTGAAGGGGGTAAGCTCTTCACCTGGGGCCAGAACACCCACGGACAGCTTGGAGTGAGGATCCAAACCACATTTACTCCCAAACCACAGCTGGTGGAAAGACTGAAGGGCATCCCACTTGCTCAAATTGCTGCCGGAGGAGCTCACAGCATCACTGTATCACTCTCTGGAGCTGTGTATTCCTGGGGAAAGAACAGTTTTGGACAGCTGGGACTCGGAGACACGAAAGGTAACGAAGGAAATCACAAGGAGGGTGTTTTCTGGTCAGTGGGCTCACCAAATTGCTCCTCAGTGTTGTCGAGCGCCTGTGGAGCAGTGCTGGACAGTAAAGTCTTTTGAAGAAAGTATATCTGGATATGTTCTTTGTTTCGTGACCACGAAAGGCATGCAGGAACAGTGTATTTAGGGGTTGTTTTTCTATAGGAAACTTACAATTATTTTATATGGCTAATTGGATAGTGTGGGCTCTTAAAACCTCTGAGGTCTTACAGGTCTATTTCCACTCCTGCCTTCTCTCCAGGAAGTCTTATCTGAAAGAATTTAATTTTATGTTTTTTAATCTTCTTTAATTCTTTGTAAACACAAAGCAAGAGAAGAATTTAAAACACCTCTTGTCTTCAGACTTAGAATGATAGAGAGGAGTTGCACTAGACAGACAGAACATCTAATCTGAATGTGTCCACACACTTGGGAATCAGGTATTTTGAAGCCAAGTTTGGCAAGCAGATATGAAAGTACTGCATTTTGTTTCAGACCAAAGTAAATGAAAATAAATATAAAAAAACCCAGAACATAATGAGAAAGAGTATGTTATATTGGAGGGAAAACAACCCAAACCCAAGCTGTAATTACATTAATTGCTGTAAGAGAGGTCTGAAAAGCACCTGTTTTCTAACTTCTTCTGTATATGAGACCTTCTAGTACTCTTTCAATTTTGCAGTATTATCTTCTTTGCAGATAAGGACTGCCCAACATATGTTGGAGCTCTAGAGCACTGGAAGACTGTGTTTATCTCATGTGGGGCAGATCATACTGCAGTTCTCTCCAAGGTGAGTCTGAAATGGAAAGTCAGCATCTGAGACCTCACCTTGTGAGAAAAGAAACACTGCTAAAAGTCAGTGTGGAGAAACTGGGATGGTAATGTCTGCTTCCACTTAAGCCTGAAGGTGGTCCCCAAGGGATGTTACCTAAGCTGTTGGGAAAACTGGTTTTTTTCCTCATAGTCCTATCACCTGCAACCTTTTGCAGGGATATGGTGAATGGGAATACTGAGGGAAAGAGGTGCAGTTTAACTCCCAGTACTTTCTGAAAACAAATTTTAATCGTACTTTGGGAACTTCAGAAGATGTGAACGACATCTAATTCACTAGGGTTTCCTTGTATAAATAAAATTCTTAAGCAACAGGAAGTTATTCTCAAGAGTTAAATTGCTCTTTTCAGGAGCTAAATTATTTGGACCTTACAGTGTATGATTCAGCTTGATGCAAAGTGAACCCTCCTCATGTTTGAATCAGGGATATTTTGAATCAAGCCCCTTATAAGACATATCTTACTGGCTCTCATTCTTGGTTGTGACCAACAATTTGAGTGTAGTTAATAATGCAGTGATCCTGTTGTTTGTTTCTTCATTTCAAGGAGGGGCTGGTGTGCACCTTTGGAGCAGGAGGGTCTGGCCAGCTGGGTCACAACTCCACCCGGAATGAACTCCTGCCTCGAGTGGTGGCTGAGCTGTGGGGAGCAAGGGTTTCACACATTGCCTGTGGCAGGTAGGAAGTGCCAATAACTTGTCTTCTAAGGAGTGATGGAAAGGGGTGAAATGTACAGATGTCTTCTAAGGTCAATGCCTTAGGGAAATCACTGAATAACAGTAGGGAAGGGAGTCACCAAGATGTTCAAATCCCTGTATCACAATAGGTCAGTGCTGTCAGAGTATCCATCCACTGTGCAAGTATAAGCCAGAGCCCCAGTGAGAGCAGAACCCTCAGTCCCTGGTGAGCAGTGGGAGAGAGCTGCAAAAACCACCAGAAGCCCTTGATATTTTTTTAATAAATAAAAGTACTGGGTTTGTACTGGGTTCCAAAGGGCAAAGGACTGTCAAAAGCATGCATTGGGAAAGCCACTGAATTTGCATCCAGACTTCCAAACTGGTAGATTTTTAATAAGAATTTAAGAGCAGTGATAATTACCCAGTTTCACTTTGCCCTTCTGGAACTGGGCCAGAAGTCTCCTGACAACTCACCTGGGCTTGGTATTTGGCTCAGCAGCGCAGAAGCTGCACATTTGAAAACAGAAGAGTGTGAAGCAAGCATGGCATAGCACTATTTTTGTATATGGAACTGAGGTAAATCACAAACATCAGAGGACAGTATAGGAAATCTGAGCTCATAGGTGTCTTTATGGCTCAATGTTTATGCAATGAAGAGTTCTAACACTTTGGTTAAAGGGATTCTTTATGTCCATTGTCAGGACTTTAAAAGACAAGCTTCAGGTCTACACTCTGAAAATGTATTTGTAAATTTTATTCTGTTTTGCCCTGTGGTTTTTGCTTATTATGACTTTTTTTTTTTTCCTGAACAGACAATACACTCTGGTCTATGTCCCTTCCTTGGACAAACTCTATTTCTTTGGTTCTGATGATGGACAACTGGAAAATGAGAGGAAGCCAAATCAGTTGATACCACTTCCCATCAATTCACCAGTGAATACTGGAAAATACTGCCAGAGTAATGACCACTGCAGATGTATACAATCTGTATTTCTATCTTCCATGGAGATATTTGCTTTCTTGATTTCATGTTTACACTGAAAAGCAAACATTATCTCTCATGCTTCCTTGGCCATCCCAACAAATTGTACCAGGAGTTACTCCATTTGCTGCTTGATTATCATGGGTAATAGCCTCATAGAATCAAACTTTGAACAGATAATTACTATCTGAAGGGGTTTTTTACTGTTCCACTTTTGTGCACTTAGCTCTCTGCAGATGACTGTCTCTTCAAATGTTCCTATGACAATCTTTTTGTTATTTCACAGAAAAGGATGCATCACAAAAAGGGATAAAAATTACTGCAGGAATAAACCAAAGTTTTGACCACTTCAAGGAGAAGGTATGTGCACACTTGATCATAGCTTCTGATTTTACCACAGTCTACATTTCTGCTGGAAACATTTGGATTTTCCACTGTGCTTGTAGCACTTCAATTTTATATGTCTGTTGTAGTTTTTTCTGTGCTTTACCTACAGACTAACTTGTATTGCAATTATATGTGTTCTGTGGTTAATGCATGTGCATCATGCTGGATGACCATTGGTTTGTTCATACTTAGGCTGAAATTTTCTTGTAATGATTGTATTAAAAAAGAAGAATCCCATCTGCTACAATTTTAATTTTGTCTATGTTTTCATGTATTTCACACAGAATTCATATTTGAGCAGAATTGCCACTCTGGAGGATAAAGAAGTGGATGCATGGGTTTCTAATTCTAAATGTCGTAAGAGTATAAAAAAGTAAATCAGAAACTTGCTATTTGGGTTTGTTTGTGTTTTTTTCCCCTGATACATGATTTTTTCCAAAAATTATTACTCTTTGGAGGCTATTGTAGGAACTGTTGTTCAAGAATTTAGCCAAGGCACAATCTTGTACCCGGGCACAAAGCTGATGAGGAGCTGAGAAGTTGAATCTGTGAAAGATCCTGCATGCATACCAAGGCCTTGTGCAAAAAGTCTAATCCAGAGTACCCAAACTGGAATGCTGTGCCAGCATTTAAAAATTAGTGGTCACTTCTTTAATTACCCATTTTCAAAAGCAATCTGTATATTCCACTGTGGGTTGCCTTACATTTATAGTCTTTCTCAGGTTTTATATGGGAGATTATTTTCTTTGAGAAAGTCTGGCTCCAGCTGCTGATTTTGAGCATTTTGAAAGCTTGGCTAGCTTGGAATTAAATATTTTCCTGACCAGAATGGTTTGGATCATGTGAAAAGTGGTGGTTGAGAGGGTGAAGGAGAGAGTTCTTTCTAGATCTCAGTAGGAAGAGCCTGACAGAAAATTGCTTGATAAAATAGCTGCCTCAATAAGAACAGGATCAGAAATACTGGGAGTGAGTAAGTCTGATGTTCCTTCAGGCTCTGGGAACCCAGCTTTTGTGCAGCAGTAAATTGAGAGCCTGATGGATTTTCCCTCCACGTGCTACAAAGATCCTGTCTGTGGACGGGATTCTCCTCGTTCCCATGTTGCAGTGCCTTTTATTCTGCATATCAAACAAAAGCAGCTAATGTTTGACCTGTCAGGAGAAGAATGGCCATGATACCACAACTAGAATGGAGTGCTGGCTGGCACTGGAGCAGGTTTCCTCACAAGGCCCAAGAGAGCAGATGTGGCTTGCCAAAGATCAGTAATTCCTTGAGTACAATGTCTTCTGCAACACTGACAGAGAAGTGGTGCTAAGAAAAGTTTTGTATGGTCAGGTGCAGATGCCCTTGTACACATTTTTTGTGTTTGAGAGTTGAAGAACTGAACCTGAGAACCTGAACTTGACAGGACTGACTTTTTGGTTTTTTACTATCAGGAATATCAGACTGATTTTTTCATCTGAGGCTTGCATCAATGGAAGCTTCCTGGACAAAAGGTAGCACACACTGACTTAGATAATCTAACAGAATATATTGGCTGCATGTAAACTGACCAGAAAGTGTTATTTCAGGTCACATATGTAGAAAAGATTTGTTTATCTAGATTTGCAAGAAGCAAGTCTTTATTTTTCAAAGTTCAAGCTAATATTAAGATTTTTATAGCCCTGGTCCTACTGAAATGTGCTAGAGAGCTCACATTTTAGATTATCCTTTGGTAATATTTGGCAGATGATGATAATCCCTCCAGGCAATATTACAGCTCTCAAAGAATCCTTAATAGCTCCTTCTGGCACTGAAGTGGAAGTAATTTTAGGGTGAAATATAGGAGTCTACCATTAATAGTTCACAGCCACACAAGACAGAAAGGACAGGATATTAATCAGGTCACAAAACAGTGGCTTGTGTTGTCTATCTTCTTAGAACACATGAAATTATACCCAGGGGAGCTGGGGCTGAACTTTCCAAGTATTTTCTGATATTACAATGCTTCATTATTCAGTAGAAAAATTATTTAGTGTTGTTTTTTTTATTTTATGTTGTGATAGAGACAAACATTTCAAAACTTCCAAAGAAGTCTCAGGCATAGACATATCAGAAGTGAAACGTTTTTATGAGAAGATCAGTACAAACCAAACAGTCTATCAGAAGGTAAGAATTTGATATAAGGATGCTGACTACACAGATACTGAGGAGCTTTGGATTTGTGCATGAAAATTAGGAATTTCATGCCACCATAATTGCTTTGGCAAAATATAATTGCATTTTAAACCTTGTATCTTTTTTTTTTTTTTTTCCCTCCAAAGGTGCAACAGGCGATTCTGAATTTACTGAGATCATTGTCTCCCTCTTTCATCTCACCTGAAAATTTCAGAGTCTACTTGATCTTGCCTTTCCTTCTGAATGGGAAGGATATAGACTCTTTCCTTTCTCTGATTCTTCTGGCTCAAGCCATCATGAAGCTCCAGCCAAAGGGCCTGCAAACTCTTGGTAGGGTTTGATGATGGTAGAACTGAATGATTTAAATGCTTGGTCATTTTCTGCTGCAGAACAAGTGTTATTATCACTGATGTAATATGTTCCAGAGCTTGAAATAATTGCTTTTGATAGACATAGAAACATGGGGACTATGCAGCAAGGCACAAGAATTAAAAAAATTCTATATGTGGTTTAATAGTTCTTGTAGTGCAAGTTTAAACTTTATTTTTTTGCTTAATTTATTTGATAGAAAGAGAAAAAAGCAGCTTCATACACAAATTGCAGTGATTTGTATACTACCTGTGACCTCACTAGCTGGTTTTTTTCACAGAATGCCTATGGGCAAACCTAGAAACACCCTTTTTCAAGGAGCTGGTCACTGTCTATCAGAGGATTTCCCAGGAAATCCTGTTGCAATTTGTCCTGGACTGCAAAGCCATTGGACCAAGCTGCCTCTTCAAGCTGGACCCAACTGAAAGTGCACCTCTGCAAATACTGCAGATGCTTTACCAGGTGAGAAAGTGCTTGGATCCTGATCAGACAGGGTGTCTCAATGTGGTTTGGAGTATTTTAATACTCACTTGTTCAGTTCTCTGGGTTCGACACTGCTTCAGGAATCTCCTGGCTCTACACCAGCACAGTTTTAAAGGAGTTCTGCTTGAGTTCTTCCAAACTAAGTCTCCATAGAAATGAAGAGCTGAAGCATGTTATAGTCCCTGGCAGGGTGAAGAACGCTTTCAGTGATGTCAGGAATGCATCCATTGATGCCTACACAGCTATGGATGTGGTTTCCTCTATGTAATGTGCCCATTCCCCTTTCTGCTGGTACGATCCCTCACTCCAGTAACTGCTCAGAGCATTTGAAAGACAACCTATCTGCTGGGCACATTGTGGCTGCCACAGTAATGCTCTGTGATGCTTTAAGAGCCTGGAAACCAGACAAATTCTCTGGGATAACAGCATTAGAACCTGTTAAGCTGCACATGAACAAGGGAAATGAAGAAAAAATGGTATTCTTCTGGAAAACCATACTTTCTCCTGTGGAGATGATCAAAGTTCATGAAGGTCAAGTGCTCATGCACACAGTATAAATCAGAGAAACTTATTAAATTTTGTTCAGACTTGAATATCCTTTTGGATGAGAATGCAGAATTTGGTCTCAAAGTTTAGACTCTCAAATCTGTATTTATGCAGATAAATAAACTCAAAAATGCAGCAGGCCTACTCTTCTCTAAGTGATTACAAGATTTGCAACTTTTCACTATCCCACTGCAAGTATCTTTTCCAGACAACAAGTAGGAATTGCAGAAACATGGAAGACTCCAAGGGAAATATACTTTTCCTGATGGAGTCCTGTTAAGGGATCTTAATTGTAAATGAAAATTGCTTCCCTGCTAGTTCATGGCCATACGTGGCTTTCTAAGACTTCTCATTGTGGAGCATTGTGCTATTTGTAGCACTTTCATCACTTAACGTCTGTGCAGGGTCTCAGAGCCCTTTCTGAAGAAAGCCCTGTGTCTTGGTTTGAAAAGACAGGTGTCTGCTAAGGAAGGCAGGAGCCTCCCTTGAAATGGAAAATGTAAACCCCCTCCCTCCAAATTATTACAATTTTGAAATTAAGGGGCTCTCAGGCAACCATATAGGAGTAGGAATAACAGTTCTTTACTAGTATGTATAAATAAAAAAAACCCAACAACTTAAAAAAAAAATTAAAATAAAATGCAGGAGTACAAAAAAATACAGAGTCAGAATACAACCTGACACCTGTTGGGCAGGGTGTTGGTAGCAGTCAGATTAAGTGGTGGCTGCAGTCCTCCTGGAGTGACAGATGTGGTTCTGCTGAAGCAGTGATCCTGTGGAAGGGTGTTGTTTTCCTCTGAAGGTCCAGTGGTGGCAGAGAAGGGTCTGGTCTTCCTCTGGGAATCCAGTGGAGAAAGGCTGCCTGTGCTGTTCTAAAGCTCAGAGTGTATCCAGGCAGGAATGCTTGGCTCCTCCCCCTGGGTGGAGCATCTCACAATGGCATGATGTAATTTTATCAGTCATGCAGTGAGACTCAATGGCCCATTGACAGAAGCTCTCGCCCTGGAGTTATGAGGGATGGGTCATGGAAGAGATAAAGGACACTGCCCCACCTGGTTTTAACAGCTGGTAATAGAATATATCCTTTTGGTTACAGCTTGCATTGCAACCTAAGGCACCCTGTCAGTCCTGTACTGCCAGACACAGCTCACCAGTTCTGCTGCTGATATATTGCATGTTTCAATGCAGGTGAACTCCAGAACTGGTTTCAGAGTACATGAAAACGACTTCCATGTACCTGAAGTGAAAGAGATTATCAACTTATATTCGTCCTTCAATATAGTAGTAAGTATAAATCTCACCAGCAGTGTGAAACGCCTCTTTTTTCTTTAATTTAAATTGTTTATATATATATGGATGTCAACTCTGGAGACTAACCCAGCACATCTCAGACATTTCATTTCTCCAATGCTCTAAATTATGCAGGCCCTTTACCATCCCAGTGCTCCAGCAGCTATAACAGAGCCTTTCCTGAGATGATCCCTGGTTCTTAGAGTTGGAGCTGCTCTCCAGCATCTTAAGCAGCTCTGTTTGCTTTGAACTAGTAATCACTGTGAAATAGCAGCAGGAGGGATGGTTGACAAAGCCGTGGTAATAAAAAATAATCTGTGGTATTTCTTGATGACACAGAGTGAAAATTAGCTACCAAATGCAGTCAATGTCAGAGGAATAAGTATGAAATGGAAATGTGCATAGTAGGAGTTTTCTTTGGCAAAATAAAGTAAGCTTTCTTTCTACTTGGCTGGAATTTTTAGGGCAACTGCCTAATTCCTTCATAAGCTTTTGTTTGCTAATATACCAATTTTGTACCAATTAACCAGAGTGGAGGAGGAGGTTTGAGAAACAGCATAGAATCGAAAGCCAATTAAGACATTACCTGAAGTTGCTGTCTTATAACTGGAGGTGTAACACTTAAAATTAGATTATTTTTAGATCAGTATCTATTTTTTGTAACCCAGCAGTTTTTAAAAGCAATATACCATAACCTGAGTATCCAGGACATTTTGGTTTAGCAGAATTAAGGAAGATGCTGTTAAAATAACTCTCCATTTTATTCTTGAGGCACTACTGTAGACAAGTGTCTGTCTGCCCAGAGAGGTTTCTCTCTGCTTCTCACTCACAGGAGTGTGCAGAAGCTGTTTTTAGGATGTGAACCTCTATTAGTGCAGTGCTCATGCATACAGGGCTCATTTCAGAGACAAAGGAGTTTCCTAGGGTACAGACTGGCAGATCAGTCTGCACATATGTCCCTGAACTCTGGTTTCACAAGGGAAAATCAGCACGTCTTTTCCTTTCTTCACCTGTCCTTTCAGAGAGTCCTAAGGAACATGAGCAAGTACCCATGCATCTTTGACAGAATAAACAAGATCCACCTTCACAGAACAGAATGCAGGGTTCTGTCCAATATCTCTCCTGTAAGTGCAGCCAATTTTGTTACCAATCAGAAGAGAAAAACACACTGCTAACAGACTATTACTTCAATCCTCAGATACCCCTTATGTGGATGGCTGAAAAATGGAAATTTTGCATCAGAAGACAATGCCTTCTGCAAGACATATGGAAAAATTTAAAATCCGCCTCAAACCAAGATTTCAGGAAGATGTTAGAGGTAAGATACTAAATTGTATTACTTGTTAGCTCTAAGTATCTTGCTGCAGTGTTCCTTGATTTTCAGTGTTGGTAGAAAGGTTTCAGTAACCTCTAAGCATACAACAAGAGAACTGCTCATGAAATTATTACAAAACATGCTCCATAGACGGTGTAGAGTAAATCTGAAGGCCAATATTTTACATCCTTATTCCAGGCAGCTTTGTTGGCATAAGTTAAATTCAAGTGAAAGTGCTATGGGGTGGCTGTGAGGTTGCTTTGGGGTAATGGAATAGAATTGCTCAGTAGTCAAAGTCCAGTTCTGTTGCCGCTAGACTGACTTTTGAGACTTTATACTAGTACTAGTATACTTTATACTAGTACAGTGTCTGGGGAACCAGCCTGAGGGGTCAGCAAACACAGCCACACAATGACATTTCTCTCATGGAGATGCTGTCAGAAGGGAAAGGAAGGGTACTGCTGGCCAGAGATGAGCATCTGATTATAATGCTGGTGTCTCCATGTGCCTCCTCTGTGGCTTCCACACTGGTTATGAAGGCTGTGTGGCAGTTGTGTTTCCCATAGGAATTGTGATGCTGGCCCTGGCCGGCAAAAGCCATTAGCTGGCTGATGTGGAAACAGGAGACCTGCCCAGAGCAGAGCTCAGCTCAGGGACCACGTGCCCCACCTGTCACTAACACAAAGCCTGGAACCACGTGGTGACACAGGAACCACGGACCTTGGTGCCCTATTATTCAGTTCTGGTGCTTTCCAAGTGACCTTTCTTGTCAGCCAGAGGTGTCAAAGCTTTTCTTTCCCATTTACTCATCTTAGGAGAAGATTCACAATGGCTCCCAAAGCTACCTTTCCTTCCTGTTTCCTCACTACACCAGCTGAGAGGGGCATTTATTTACAGAGTCGAAGTGAGGGTGTGCTTTGTACTGTCCTCTAGATTTCAAGTCTCCACCAACTGTACAAACTCTGACAAGCAGCTGTCCTTAGCTCAAGTCAGCCTTTGCTCTTGTGAACACTGCCTTTCACATGGTGCATCACAATACTATTTACCTAGCAGCAGCCTGAAAAGTAAAACCACACTGTTAGTATCTCACAGCATTTACAGCCTGGTGCAGTATTTACAACTTGGTGCTTCATTGCAGCAGGTAAAGGACACGAATGTGTTTTATGTTGCAGATACAAACTATCCAAAAGCAAAACATAAAAAACCCCTTTCACTGTAGCCTTGACCTGCACCCTTCAAAGCTGTGTCCTGTTAGAAAGTTTTTTAGACAATACTGAGAACTTGGCATGTGGCACTCTCATCGCAGCCGTAGAAAGAAAAGATCTGCAGGTACTGCACATACAGACATGGGTATCATCCAAGAAAGAAATGTCTTCATTTGACTCATCTCAAGTTTTGTCATTAAACACCAGCCTGATTTATTTTAATTTTTGGTCTTCTGACAGTGAGACAAACATATTTCAGTACACACATCTGGTTAAAAAACCCCAAAGCTCTCAAATAGAGATTCATATCACTGCATGTTTTAATTTTAATTTAGTTTATTCAGTCAGAGTACAGTTCATTCTTATGAAAATTAAGGTTTTAATTAGTGCCACTACAAAGGCACAGCACTCTTGAAGGGGTAAAACAGAGGAAATTAGTGCTTCTTATTACTCCTACCCTTCATCTGCATTAGCAGTAGTTAACAATGGCCTGCTGCTTCATACTGTTCCAGATCCTACCAGGAAAATGATGCCAGTCACTAGTGCCAGAATGAAACTCTCTCAAATGAACTGCAATACTTGATTAAACAAATTATGTCGATTTAGAGAAGCCCAGGGGTTAGCAAAGGCATCACACTAGTTGTGGCGAAAAAGCTTAATCCCCATCCAGGTCCACAGGTGAAAGAACACATAAACCGGTACTGTAACGGGGAGGAGGAGGCTGTAGAAACACAGGCTGGTTGTGCTGGTGCAGCCCTGAGGGAAAGTTTCGTCTACGCTGGCCGAGTAGAACAGGCCTGCCAGGGACAGGAGGGGAACGAGCACAGTCAGCGTGGGCAGGGAGGGCAGCAGCCCTGCTCCGGCCATCAGGCCCCGTTACCGCCGTGCCCGGCGGCTCCTCAGGGCTGCTCCGAGCCCTCGGCCGGCGGCTTCTTGTGCATCATCCTGGCAGCCTCCGGAACCATGTTCGGGATGCCGTCGATGATGGGGTACGCGATGCCCAGCTCCTCGTTAATGAGCTCGTTCGTAGCTTCCTCGTACCTGGCCAGCCAAGCCGGGGGGG